AGGGGCATTATTATATTGGCTGATCTGTTTTCAATACCCTTCCTAATAGTCCCCAGCATAGCATTGGCCTTTTTTATTGCAGTCACACACTGTCTCGACATTTTCAGTGGGTTATCTACTACAACTCCAAGATCTCTCTCTTGATCAGTCTCTGCCAGTTCAGACCCCATCAATGTGTAATTTTATTTAGGATTTTTGGCTCCAATGTGCATCACCTTGCACTTGGCCACATTGAACCCCATTTGCCATGTTGACGCCCACTTGCCCATCCTTGACAGATTCCTTTGGAGTGCCTCACAATCCTCACTGGTTTTCACCACCCTGAACAACTTTGTATCATCCGCAAATTTAGCCACTTCACTGCTTACTCCCAACTCCAAATCATTAATGAACAAGTTAAAAAGCAGTGGACCAAGTACTGATCCCTGCGGTACCCCACTGCTTACCCCCCTCCACTGAGAGAACTGCCCATTTGGAGAAGGGAGGGATTTATGACATAGAGTCCACCTTTCAAAGCGGCCATTTCCTCCAGGGGAACTGATCTCTGTTGCTTGGAGATGAGTTGTGATCCCGGGGAGTTCTCCAGCCGCCCCATAAAGGTTGCAGCCCTATCCCGCACCTATGGTCACATGTGCTTGTTCTTGAGCAAGGCTTGGGAGACGGCTGTATAAAATGTTTTTGGTCGTGTGTTTCACATTAAAGCCATTCCTTATTCTGGGAGTCTTCATCTGAGGACCCCAGAAATACAGCATTTATAACTGAGGTCGGGTTGCCCGCTCTTGGGAAGTTCATGGAGATTTGGGGGGCGGAGCCTGGGGAGGGCGGGGTTTGCAGAGGGGGAGGGGCCTCGGCAGGGTCTGATGCCACTGAGCCCCGCCCTCCAGAGCACGGAGAATTTGCCGTGCGAAAGGCACAAATGTCGGGCCGATTTTCGGGGCGTGATCACACTGCGACATCGTGCCGCTTCTTTGCCACACTGCAGCATCGCCGTGTGATCGCCAGCTAACAGGCTAAGTACGGAGACTCGGGGGACCATGTGATCGGGCTACCGCGCTTTATTTTGCTCCTGGGCAAACAGCCCCCCCTCCCCCCCCGCGTTATCTGGCCCATGTGACTGGGGCCGCTGTAGATTTTCCGGGCTGTGTGGCCATGGTCTTGTCATTGTAGGACCTGACGTTTCGCCAGTAGCTGTGACTGGCATCCTCAGAGGTATAACACAGAAAGATGGAGGTCTCTCTGTGTCAAGGTGAGAAGAAAATGGTAGGCAGGTAATTTATCTCTACTCCAGAAGATATATTTTTTGGGGGGGGGAGCATAGTGAAGGAAATAAATATGTCAACATTGGAGATGAATGGACAAATGTATCCTTAACTGTGGAACGCTGTGAGTAATTAACTGAGACTCTGCCAGTACGCTCCATCCGTCTCTCCTCTCAAGCATGGAAGTTGCAGAGAGTAACAGCCGTACAAGAATATACATATAATTTATGACAGAATAGATTTAAAAAAAAGATATTGGCCCTGGCGATTAGCCTCAATAAAGAACCAAACTGTACTGTGACAAAAGAAAATGACCATTATTGACCCTGACCGTACACGTTTCGGCCCATCGGCCTTCCTCAACTGTCAAACAAATGGCCGTTGCACTGTAATGTCAGGAGCCACTCTGGAATATCGTCTGTCAACCTTTAGTTTCTTAATTCTATGCTGTTTGGGTTGAGCCCCTGGCGCCCTCCCCCCCCCCGTTTTCAGTAGAAGGGCCAGCCCTGAAGTGCCTCCCACGCTTGCCTCAGAGCTTGCCCAGGCGTGGTACTAAGTTGTGTCGATATTATACTGGTAGTTTTGACCACAGCTGAGAGCTACCCCCCCCCCCATGCTCCTGCTACTGTGTGGAAAACACGGTACCCTCGAAGGCACGGTGTCTCCTGAAAGGATCTTGAAATAACGCATTGAAAGAATGCCGCCGGTGCCATTCCCTACCCCCTGGCACATCTGCTTGTCTAAGTGGGATCTTGTCCTGTTCCCAGAACCGGCAGAGGTCCATCAGTGGCTCTTAGCCACAAGGTATAGATAGGGGCTCCGGGGCAAGTGATGCTCTGTCTTCTTGGTGCTTGGGGGGGGGGGGGGGGTGAACAGTGGGAGGGCTTCTAATGTCCTGGTCCCACTGGTAGACCTCCTGATGGCACTGGTATTTCTGGCCACTGTGGGACACAGAGTGTTGGACTGGATGGGCCTTTGGCCTGATCCAACATTGGCGTCTCTTATGTTCTCTTATGTTCTCATGGTTCTCCCACCCCCCAAAAAAATCATACTTGATTATGTTATTTCCGGCATGCACCGGAAGTGACATCATGCTGGCAACATCTGGGTGATGGTCTTGTATATGGGCAAAAACGCTATGGCGGTGTTCCCTCTAAGCTGAGTTAGCGTGAGCTAGCTCACGGTTTCTTGGCCTCCAGCTCACAGATTTTTGTCTTCGCTCAAGAAAAGATGGCTCCAGGACAAACTAAGTTATGCTGCAGCGAAATGGCTCGCTCACAACTTGAATGCCAGTAGCTCACAAAGTCGAATGTTTTTGCTCACAAGCCTCCACGGCTTGGAGGGAGCACTGCTCTATGGTGGTGCAGTTTTTACCATAGAGTTTTTGCCCAAATACCAGAGTGTCGCTGGGACAGCCAAACGTGATGACATCACTTCCGCCACACACTGGAAGTGACATCGCCAAGTTACCATGTAGTCTAGGCCTCCCTCCTGCTCCTGGTAAGTCCCCCCCGCCCCCTGTCAGTAAGTCCCCCCAGGAGGAACCTGACCAGTGGCAACCCCATCTGGTTGTGCTGTGAAATCCTCTAGTTCGTTGGGAGCCAGAAGCATAAAGAGTTTTCAAACCACCCCGTCTTTTTTTTTAAAAAAAAGCATCTTGCAGGTGATAGATCCTGGAATAAAATGAGTTTGACGCTTCTGCTCTAACCACTGCACCACTCGTAACAGTGAATGGGGGAGGCTACAGGTAACGTCGTTACTTGTAGCTGTCTACCTCTGCACGTCACAATTACAGTGGAATGCGTGCTTGCTGTTTTGCGAGTGAAACCAAAAGGGTTTATATAACTGTCAGAGGTTCCTTTTTATAACATCGGTCCGGCTCCCAGCCAAAACACCGCCACCCCCGTTTTGCATTATTGTCTGAATCGATTCCTTGTCTCACGGAAGGTAAATAAAATTTGTTCCTGACCGGTCTTGTTTTCATGGCTGTGAAATAAAATCTGAAATGCAAACAAAACCAAAATCCAAGAATATTAATCTTTTTTAAAAAAAAAACTATACTTCTGAACTCTTGGAATTAAACCCCACCACCACCACCACCGCGTATAGTTCTTAAGTGTGCTGTCGGACCGAATGTTCAACCCTCAGCCTCTTTGGAAAGTGCTTGCTGGGGTCTGGTTTTCCAAACTGTCGTCCTGTGACAACCGCAGTGGCTGTTTCTGAGTGGGTTAATCCCAGAGACACAAAGGTGACTGATTCTTGCGCTTTTCTGAAGCCCTTCCCACTCTAAGAGAGCCGGTTTGGTGTTGTGGTTAAGTGCGCGGACTCTGATCTGGGAGAACTGGGTTTGATTCCCCACTCCTCCACTTGCACCTGGCTGGATGACCTTGGTCAAGCCACAGTTCTGATAAGAGCTGTCCTTGAAAAAGAGCAGTTTCTGTCAAGAGCTCTCTCAGCCCCACCTACCTCCCAGGGTGTCTGTTGTGGGGAGGGGGAGGGAAAGGAGTTTGTAAGTCGCTCTGAGACACCTTTGGGTAGTGAAGGGCGGGGTATAAATCCAATCTCCTTTCATTCCAAAAGAGCTCCAGGCCCCAAATGGAGGTTGGCCACCCTAGCCAGGAAACGCAGGGGCAGGTACCATATTTGGACTCCCTGCATTAAGCTGTTAGAGCAGGGGTGTCAAACATGCGGCCCGGGGGCCATATTAGGCCCCTGGGCAGCTTCCATAAGCATGTTTTTATTTTAAGTGGAAAAAAACACCCTCTTTGTGTTTGTGTCCTTTATAAAGTTTATCTCTCCACTACCTGGCATTACATTTTATGACACACATGGTCCGGCCCAACAAGGTCTCATTTATGTCTGATCCGGCCCTCATAACGAATGTGTTTGACAGCCCCCGACCTAGTGGGACTTTTCTCCCTCTCAGTTTGACCGCTGCCACCACCTGACCTTTATAGGGATTGCCCACTTCCCTTCCATGTTCTGAGGCCTTGCCTCTGTGTCTCCCGCTGCCCAGAGCCCGGTGACCACAGGGACCTTTTACTGCCTTTTGCACTACTAGAAGAGTAGCTGCCTGCCAAATGACTGCCCTGATTTGATCTCCTTGATCTCAAGAGTCTTCTCCAGCACCATAATTCAAAAGAATCTATTCTTCGGCGCTCAGGTAGTGGAGATATAAACTTTATAAAGGACACAAACACAAAGGTTTTTTTTTTTCTTAAAATCATGATTAAAACATGAGCCCTCTTGCGATATTTTGTTTATTTAACAGTGTCTGATAACTGACACCTCTTGCTCTGAATGATTGCATCAAAATGTCTGTGCTCTTGCAATCCTGAATATGCTGTTCAGGTGTGTATCTGTAAGCGGCAAAGCCTACAATGACGCAGCAGCAGCAGAACTGGAAGAAGAAGCAGAAGACAGCCAGTTCCACTGCGGGCCTGATAGAAAGCCTCCGGGGAGGGGGGTCTGATCCGGCCCCCGGGCTGCATGTTTGACACCCCTGCACCAGGTGTTGGGGAAACTGAGGAGGACAGGGTGCAACAGGACCTTCAGGCCAGGGCAGACCTGTTTGCCACACTGGGGAAAAGACTTTTTCCAGCAGCCTGGACTCTTTCTCCACGTGTTGTGTTTGTTTTGTTTTAAATGTTTGTTGGTGCACCAGTAAACAAAAGGGGGGGGGGATAGACAAGGTTTCACCCATTGTGCTCTTCAGGATTTGTGACAGTTGCTGTACTCCAGACAGACCCTTATATCGTTTTGCGTTTGCTTCCTTTGCTTCCCCCCACCCACCCCCGGTCCAGGACATCCTCCATGCAGACAGCCTTTCATCTCCCGACTCCAGCTTCACCCTCAACCCAGAGGACAGAAGGGGCTACCCTGACCCCCAAGCGGCACACAGGGCCTTTGCCAAGCAACGCTTCAGGCAGGAGAGCGGGCAGGCGTCTTTGCAAAGAGATGGGCCTCAGCCTTTCCTTCTGGACCTCCCAAACTTCCCTGACCTCTCCAAAGCGGACATCAACGGGCAGAATCCCAACATCCAGGTAAAACCGCTCGGCTAGATTGACTGTCGCAGTCCTGTGCTGAATTACTCCAATCTGTGTCCATTGACATCAGCGGGTTTAAGACTAGAGCAGGGGCCCCCAACCTCTATGAGGAGAGGAGGAGAGATTGGATTTACACCCCGCCCTTCACTACCCAAAGGAGTCTCAGAGTGGCTTACAGTCTCCTTTCCCTTCCCCTCCTCACAACAGACACCCTGTGAGGGAGGTGGGGCTGAGAGAGCTCTCTCTCGAGGACTGCTCGTGAGAGAAAAGCTCTGAAACAACTTGTGACTGACCCAAGGTCACACCAGCAGCTGAATGTGGAGGAGTGGGGAATCAAACCTGGTTCTCCCAGATTAGAGTCCGCACACTTAACCACCACACCAAACTGGCTGTGAGCGAGAGTTTTAGAAATTCTGATGTGGTGTGGTGGGCGTGGTGGGCACGGCCACAAAATGGCCACCACAGCTTACCTTCAGTCACACGATGAAGTGCTGTGGCGCAAGCTGCTGCCAAAGCAACCTTTAAAGAAATCTGCACTGCCAATCAAATCTCCAGTGGCCAGTCAGAATCCTTGCTGGGCAAAAGCCTCGTCTGGCCCCACCCACTTTCTAAAAACACTTGGCGGGCACGAGAATGGGCGTTGGCGGGTGCCGTGGTGCCCACGTGCGCCATGTTGCGGAACCCTGGACGAGAGAGTCTGTCTAGAACTGGACAGTTGGAATCTTACTTGAGGAAACAGTCCGGACCAACTTGTCTCCCAGTACGGAAGCAAGGGTCTCAGGCGGAGGTCTTTCCCATCACCTGCTGCCTGATCTTTTTAACTGGAGATGCCGGGGACTGAACTTGGGACCTTCTGCATGCCAAGCAGAGGCTCTTCCACTGAGCCATGGCCCCACTTCATGGCTCTTCAGGGTCTCAGGCTGAGGTCTTTCACATCACCTGCTGCCTAGTTCTTTAATTGGAGATGCCGGGGATTGAACCTGGGACCTTCTGCATGCCAAGCAGAGGCTCTGCCACTGAGCCACGCCCCCCCCCAAGCAAATTTAAATAATCAATATGTTTACCTTCACACATGAACCTGCCTAATACTGAATCAGACCCTTGGTCCATCAAGGTCTGTACTGTCATTTTCATTTTTTCATTTTTCATTTATTTTCATTTTTCTTATATTGTTGTTCTAAACCATTTTAATTGTTCTTAATTGTATTCTGTATTGTGTTCAGGTTGTTTTGTGTTGTTTTTGTTGGAAATGTGTGACTTCCAAGATTCCAGTCATTATAGGGTTAATCTGCTTTACCTAGTGTACTGCTGTTTAGACTGACCTGGAAGGGAAACTTGGCTCAGAGCCAATGGGAAGATAGCCCGGGAAAAATCTAAGTCTGCTTACTGGCGATCATTGGTTACTGTGTTCAGGTGATTTCCTTCTGGGGGTCAAGAAGAAGGGGAATCTCCATTGTTGTGCAACCATGTGTTCTTTGCTGTAAGGATGTAAAAATGTAGATCTAGATACCTCTTTGTTTTGTAGCTTTCCATGCGAACCCTTCCCTTAGAAATAAAGCTTTTTACATAGTAATGTCTCCTCTCCAGTGAAGCAAGGATCCATTGGAAACGCTGAGAATTTAAGTATTTTTGACTATTTCCCCAACATATTCCAGTAGCAGCCTCTTCCGGTAGCATCCTCTGGATGCCAAATGGCCTTGTAAGCTGTCCCCCTGCTTCGGCGGGGAGGGTGGGGGTATAAATTAAATAAATTGTAAAAAAGGATTATGTGGTAGGATCCAATTTAACAGCACAGCTGTACGCAGTTGTGCAGACCCCAGTCCCTGATCGTTTGTCCAAGTGACTTTTGTGAGTCATTCAGTGCAGCGGAACTCCGTTGCCTGGGCGGAAACGCCCTCTTGACTATTTCAGTTTTGCATAGTTTGCGGAAGGCCAGGAGTGGGGGGAGCCTTCCTGACCTCACCGGGCATACCGTTCTGTAAGGCGGGAACCACAACAGAGAAGGAATGTGTACGGGCCGTCGTTGATTTGCCCGTTTGCAGGTCGGCAGCTGAAGAAGAGCCGGCTCAGATGAGCCAGGCTGCAGCGGCACAGCCTAGAGGGAAAGGTGCTCCCACAGACGTGAGGGCCCAAGGCCAGCGGAGAAATGTATTTTTAAGCCAGTTTGGTGTCGTGGTTAAGTGCGCGGACTCTAATCTGGGAGAGCCGGGTTTGATTCCCCACTCCTCCTTCACTTGCACCTGGCTGGATGACCTTGGGCAAGACGTAGCTCTGATGAGAGCTGTTCTTGAAAAAAGAGCAGTTTCTGTCAGAGCTCTCTCAGCCTCACCCATCTCACAGGGTGTCTGTTGTGGGGAGGGGAAGGGAGAGGAGATGGTAAGCCGCTCTGAGACACCTTTGGGTAGTAAAGGGTGGGGTATAAATCCAATCTCTTCTTCTTCTTCTTCTTAAAAAATAGCAAACGACTCGATTCTTAGAACAGGATTTCCAGTTGTGTTGCTCTAATAATACAGTCCCCCGATGATATGGCCAGATCTCTCTCCGGAATTAAATATTCTCGTTCAGCCTCTGTGCCATTTCCCCAACTGCTTTAGCGTTAACAAGACAAGGAAACACTCGGCCGGGTAACCTGAGCAGCTGTTAGTTTTGTGCTCTCGAGTGTGTGTTGTACACTTTGTGACTACCGCAGTGGCCAGATGCACCGCCGCACCCGGGTCAACGAATGCACGGGACCCTCTCGGAAAGGAGGTCCCTTTGAAAGCCAGTGGGCATCTTTCCGCGAGGAGCGGCGGTCTCTTCCTCACAGTGAGAAGCTCCTTTGTTGGGCGCCACTGACTCGACGCCTGCCAGCCCATGCAGCCATGCCAGCCGTGCGGAGTCACTCGGGGCACGGCGGGTTCGCTTTCTTCCTCCTCCAGAACAGAGTGAGGTCATGTGTCGAGCGACTGGGCTCGTCTGCCGTTTCCTTTGTGGTGTTCTTCTCCCTTTCTCCAGCTATCGAAGAAACCCTGCCCTCGGAGGACACTGCCGCCCGCCTTTCTTATCTGAGCTCTCCTCTTCCTTCCATTTTTCCTAGCCGTATTTTCCCCACATCGTAGAAAAGAGCAAGATTTCAGTAGCACTTTCAAGACGAACAAAGTTTGAGGCAGGGGAGGAGTTTCCGTGAGTCACCGCTCACGTCTTCAGATACAGCTAGAACGGGAGTCCATCTGGCCTCATATCTTGGAGACCGGAGTAGTTTCAGATCCAAGATATAAGGACAGGCTGACTCATATTCTAGCTGTATCTGAAGAAGTGAGCAGTGACTCACGAACGCTCGTCCCCTGCCACAATCTTTGTTAGTCTTTAAGGTGCTAATACTGGACTCCTGCTCTTTTCTGCTGCTACAGACAGACTAACACAGCTACCCATCTTGATATTTCCCACACAGGAATGCAGCAAAACCTGCTGCATAACTCATGTACATACGTGCTGTCAAGTCGCAACCAGCTTACCGTCAACCCCAGCAAGGGGCTTTCAAGGCAAGTGAGCAGCAGAGGGGGTTTGCCATTCCCTTCCTCTGCAGAGCCTGCCTTGGTGGTCCCCCATCCAAGGACCGACCCTGCTTAGCTTTTGAGATCTGACAAGATCGGGCTACACCATGCAGCCTTCCCTAACATGCCCTGTTACGCTCGCCATATCCAGTGCAGTGAGACAGGTCTCCTCAGTGCGTGTTTCTGCACCCAGGCTTCTCTCTCAAGTAGTCCCTTAAAAGAGCTTAGCCCCAATTCTGTGTCTCCCTCACTCTCCAAACTGGTACACAGGAGATCAGTCTCTCTAAGATGAGTAGGGCTCAGCAGCTGTCCCACCCCTTTGCACGCTCCTGGGAGAGCCAGTGCAGTATCGTGGTTAGTCTGCTGAGTTCTGGGAGAACCAGGTTTGAATTCCCACTCTGCCATAGAAATTTTCTGGGTGACCTTGGGCCAGTCACGTATTCTCAAACTAACGTGTTATGACAATCTCGCCCTCTTCCCTCTCTCACACACAGGATTTCTCCTTAATTTCTTCTTTCTTGCTTGCTGAGCAGCCCCTACATCTATTTTCTCCTTACTTGTTGGTCTATGGCTGTCCCACCCTACAGCTTTATTATATATTTTTATGTTAACCCAACCCAGGGACCTGAGGGAAGAGACAAAATCACCTTCCTATCTTCTGCTTCTGAAATGGCACACACAGTGTTTTATTTGTAAGCCGCACTGAGCCCGTTCGCGGGGAGGGCGGGGTAAAAATATTCAAATAAATAAATAAATAAATAATTTAACTTAGAGGAGAAAAGGTCAGGTGGAATCAGGGGAAGGATGTATGAGGTGAACAGATTATAAAAACGGAGGCCAGCGGAGAAATGTTTTTTTAAGCCAGTTTGGTGTAGTGGTTAAGTGCGCGGACTCTAATCTGGGAGAGCCGGGTTTGATTCCCCACTCCTCCACTTGCAGCTGCTGGATGAGCTTGGGCAAGCCGTAGTTCTGACAAGAGCTGTTCTTGAAAAAGAGCCGTTTCTGTCAGAGCTCTCTCAGCCCCACCCACCTCACAGGGTGTCTGTTGTGGGGAGGGGAAGGGAGAGGAGTTTGTAAGCCGCTCTGAGACACCTTTGGGTAGTGAAGGGTGGGGTATAAATCCAATCTCTTCTTCTTCTTCTTAAAAAATAGCAAATGACTCGATTCTTAGAACAGGATTTCCCGTTGTGTTACTCTAATAATACAGTCCCCCGATGATACGGCCAGATCTCTCTCCGGAATTAAATATTCTCGTTCAGTCTCTGTGCCATTTCCCCAACTGCTTTAGCATTAACAAGACAAGGAAACACTCGGCCGGGTAACCTGAGCAGCTGTTAGTTTTGTGCTCTTGAGTGTGTGTTGTACTTTGTGACTACCACCGTGGCCAGATGCACCGCCGCACCCGGGTCAATGAATGCATGAGACCCTCTCGGAAAGGAGGTCCCTTTGAAAGCCAGTGGGCATCTTTCACTGCGAGGAGCGGCGGTCTCTTCCTCGCAGTGAGAAGCTGGGCGCCACTGACTTGACGCCTGCCGGCCCATGCAGCCGTGCAGAGTCACCCGGGGCACGGCGGGTTCGCTTTCTTCCTCCTCCAGAACAGAGTGTCGAGCGACTGGGCTCGTCTGCCGTTTCCTTTGTGGTGTTCTTCTCCCTTTCTCCAGCTATCGAAGAAACCCTGCCCTCGGAGGACACTGCCGCCCGCCTTTCTTATCTGAGCTCTCCTCTTCCTTCCATTTTTCCTAGCCGTATTTTCCCCACATCGTAGAAAAGAGCAAGATTTCAGTAGCACTTTCAAGACGAACAAAGTTTGAGGCAGGGGAGGAGCTTCCGTGAGTCACCGCTCACGTCTTCAGATACAGCTAGGACGGGAGTCCATCCGGCCTCATATCTTGGAGACCGGAGTAGTTTCAGATTCGAGATATAAGGACAGGCTGACTCATATTCTAGCTGTATCTGAAAAAGTGAGCAGTGACTCACGAACGCTCGTCCCCTGCCACAATCTTTGTTAGTCTTTGTTAGTCTTTAAGGTGCTAGTACTGGACTCTTGCTCTTTTCTGCTGCTACAGACAGACTAACACGGCCACCCATCTTGATATTTCCCACACAGGAATGCAACAAAACCTGCTGCATAACACATGTACATACGTGCTGTCAAGTCGCAACCAGCTTAACGTCGACCCCAGCAAGGGGCTTTCAAGGCAAGTGAGCAGCAGAGGGGGTTTGCCATTCCCTTCCTCTGCGGAGCCTGCCTTGGTGGTCTTCCTTCCAAGGACCGACCCTGCTTAGCTTTTGAGATCTGACAAGATTGGGCTACACCATGCAGCCTTCCCTAACATGCCCTGTTACGCTCGCCATATCCAGTGCAGTGAGACAGGTCTCCTCAGTGCGTGTTTCTGCACCCAGGCTTCTCTCTCAAGTAGTCCCTTGAAAGAGCTTAGCCCCAATTCTGTGTCTCCCTCACTCTCCAAACTGGTACACAGGAGATCAGTCTCTCCAAGATGAGTAGGGCTCAGCAGCTGTCCCCTGCCCACCCCTTTGCACGCTCCTGGGAGAGCCAGTGCAGTATCGTGGTTAGTCTGCTGAGTTCTGGGAGAACCAGGTTTGAATTCCCACTCTGCCATAGAAATTTTCTGGGTGACCTTGGGCCAGTCACGTATTCTCAAACTAACGTGTTATGACAATCTCGCCCTCTTCCCTCTCTCACACACAGGATTTCTCCTTAATTTCTTCTTTCTTGCTTGCTGAGCAGCCCCTACATCTATTTTCTCCTTACTTGTTGGTCTATGGCTGTCCCACCCTACAGCTTTATTATATATTTTTATGTTAACCCAACCCAGGGACCTGAGGGAAGAGACAAAATCACCTTCCTATCTTCTGCTTCTGAAATGGCACACACAGTGTTTTATTTGTAAGCCGCACTGAGCCCGTTCGCGGGGAGGGCGGGGTAAAAATATTCAAATAAATAAATAAATAAATAATTTAACTTAGAGGAGAAAAGGTCAGGTGGAATCAGGGGAAGGATGTATGAGGTGAACAGATTATAAAAACCGAGGTAACTTTGTAATCACACTAAATCCAGCTATTATGTTGCCAACAAGTGTTTTTGCTTTTCAACAAGGTCTTTGAAAGTTTGAGGACAGAGGCTTTCTTTTCAGTGTCTGCTTTAACACTCAAGCATAGGTTTCCGAATTTCACTGACACTTCACATTTAGATGGCAGGAACATACAACCAGGTTCCAAAATCCTTCTGTATAGACAGACCAAAGGATCACTCTTCTCTTTAGAGCTATTTCCCTTTCCACTGGGCTGGGATTACTTCTCTTCACTAGAAGCCCTGTCCCTTTTCAGCTTGAATGGGGATCTTCTGTGACCCTCTCACTCCTCTTTGCCTCCTTCCCAGTCCTCAGTCAGTGCTAAACTGTCTCTTCGTCAGCTGTCAGTTCCCATCATTTCTTAACTGATGCTCTCCACAGAGTTCTGTTTGAACAGCCTGTCACTCAAAGGTGACTCTGTTAGAACGTTATCCCTTGACAGTCTGTCACACCTGTCTTACAGGTGAGGAGAGGTGAACAAAGTAAGCTGCACTGGGTCCCCATTGTGGAGAAAGGTGGGGGTATGAATGAATAAATAAATGTGGCCTAAACCAGGCTTGAAGTGGGATCTGGTGAATATGCAAGGACTTCCAGTGTAAAACAGTAGCAGTCATTCAATTAACACTGGAGAGAGAAAAAAGCCGTTTCTCTGCCAGGTCCTTCTTAAAGGTAAACACTCCTTCTGCTTCCAAACAAAATATCAACACAACACAAGATTCTTGGCTTGTAGATATATTTGAATTGTGGACTATAAATATATCTACAAGCAAGAATCTTGTGTTGAAGTGGGATCTAGCATGGTGTAGTGGTTAGAGAGCTGGATTGGGATCTGGGAAACTCGGGTTTAAATCACCACTCGACCACATATACATGAGCATACATGAAACGGCCTTCTACTGCATCAGACCCCCTTGGTCCATCAAAGTCAGTATTGTCTACTCAGACTGGCAGCTGCTCTCCAGGGTCTCAGGCTGAGGGCTTCCACAGTACCTCCTACCTGATCCTTTTAACTGGAGATGCCGAGAATTGAACCTGGGACCTTCTGCATGTTGGGCAGGTGCCCTGCCAGTGAGTTGCAGCCCCTCCTCAGAAGCTCATGCAAAAATAATAAAAAACATTCAACAGACAATATAATGAAATAAACGTATATAAGTGATGTAGGCCCCGGTCACACGGGCCAGATAACGCGGGGGGCGTGGCTATTCGCCCTGGAGCAAAATAAAGCGCGGTAGCCCGATCACACGGTCCCCCAAGTCTCCGTGCTTAGGCTGTTAGCTGGCGATCACACGGCGATGTTGCAGCGTGGCAAAGAAGCAGTGCAGCGTGATCACACAAGCGTTTTGCATTTGTGCACATGTGCAGTTCCGCAGGGCAGCACTGCTTTCAGTTTCATGTTTGTGCGCATGCGCTTACGAAAAACATCCGGTTTGCAACGGGACATGAACGGGCGCCGCATGCGCTTACGAAAAACATCCGGTTTGCGACGGGACATGAACAGGCGCCGGATGCCACGAGATACTAGCACTCCCGCGATCAGACACCAGCCTGTGCCGTGCGTTTTCTGAATACTAGTGCACTTTCCTTGGTACTTTTAAAATTATGATTGCATTAAAAAAAACCCAACCTAAACATAAAGAAACTTTCTTCTCCTTTCCATCTGATACTATTTCCCTCTTTTCCCACTCTGTCCAGGCAAACCCAGAAAGTAGTGGTGGTACCACTGGTGGGACCCAGCTTAGGGTGGCAAGCATTGGACTTGTTGCGATTCTCGACCTGCTGGTTGAAGACCAATGCCACAGAGTACCAAAGTCCTCCTTTATTTGACATAAATCATTGACTTGTGGCTTTTCCATATAGCTTCCATAGCCTTTGAGGATGCCATTTCCAGACAACATTAGCCCTTTGTATCTGTCAAAAAACAAACAAATCTATCGGTGATATATCTTCTTCAGTATTCTCAATGTTTATGGTTAGGGACCTATCTACCTAAGGGACCACCTTTCCCCATATGTCCCCCAGAGAGCACGGAGATCGGGATCCCAAAATCGCCCAGTTCTCCCAGGCCCGAAAGAAGCCAGGCTAGTTGCGATGAGGGCCAGGGCCTTTTCTGTGGCGGCTCCATACTGGTGGAATGAGCTCCCGGAGGACATCAGGGCCCTGCGGGACCTTTTGCAGTTCCGCAAGGCCTGTAAGACGGAGCTCTTCCACCAGGCTTTCAATTAGGGGGCCACCTTTGACGTCATGGCCCTGGCCCTAATGTTAACATCAACATAATTGCCAGCCTGACGACCAACAGCCTGGGTTGGGTGTAGGCAACCATCCAGTTGTTGAGAGAACACTGCCATCTTTTACTGTAGTTATACTTGGAGTAGTTATGGTTTTATATATACTAATTTTAACTGAATTCTGTTTTAATATTGTGGAGTTTTCATGTATATTTATTGTAAGCTGCCCTGAGCCTGCCACGGCAGGGAGGGCGGGATAAAAATTTAAATAAATAAATGTTTATTGACCAGCTTTCTCCAATTCTTCAGGTTACTATAGAGGTCATCGATGGGCCAGACTCTGAATCAGAGAAGGACCTCCAGAAGGAAAGCGGTAAACCCAGCTGGCCGGTCCCCTCGCCAGACTGGAGGAACTGGTGGCAGAGGTCGGCACCCACCGTCACCCGCATGAGTAGCGGCGACCGGGATTACAAGTACGATAGCACAACTGAGGACAGCAACTTCTTAAATCCTCTTGGCGGGTGGGATAGGCACGCCCCCGGTCACCGGACGTTTGAATCCAAAGAACAGCCGGAATATGGTAAGAGCTTGAGATCTATATGTTGTCGAAGGCTTTCACAGCCGGAGTCCATTAGCTGTTGCAGATTTTCCGGGTTGTATGACCATGGTCTTGACATTGTAGGACCTGACATTTCGCCAGTAGCTGAGACTGGCATCCTCAGAGTTATAACACAGAAAGATGGAGTACTCTCTGTGTCAAGGTGAGAAGGAAAAAAATGGTAGGCAGGTAATTTATCTCTACTCAGGAAGGTGGGGTAGGGCTGAGTCATTATCTTGTAGGAGTTCCCCAGGCTGTGAACATGCTAATGGAGGAGCTTTCCTGAGGAGATTCTTTTGTATATGGATTGGCTGTTGAAATTCTAATCTTATCTGTAGTGCTATTGTCAGATGTAGAGCATTTTGTGTTTTTCAGGACAGGAAACCATGCCCTGTGTATTTTTAAACTCTCTTTTTTCTTGTTGAAATTTTGTTTATTATGAATTTCCATGGCTTTCCTGTGTAATCTGACATGGTAATTGGAAGTGTTGTCCAGCCTTTCAGTGTCTTGGAACAAAATACTGTGTCCTGTTTGAGTTAGGCTATGTTCAGCCACTGCTGAATTTTCAGGTTGGCCAAGTCTGCAGTGTCTCTCATGTTTTATTCTTGTCTGAATGCTACGCTGTGTGGTCCCGATGTAAATTTGTCCACAACTGCATGGTATGTGGTATACTCCCCCTCACTTCCGCAGGTCTCTTCAGTCTTTTGCCGATTGTAGCATCTGTTGTATACTGAGATCTCTCAGTATTGCCTACTCAAACTGGCAGTGGCTCTTTAGGATCTCAGGTGGGGGTCTTTTATATCACCTACTGCCTAGTCCTTAACTGGAGATGCGGGGGATTGAACCGGGGACCTTCTGCATGCCAAGCAGATGCTCTGCCTCTAAGCCACGGCCCCTCCCACAATGCCCAACATAACCAACCCAGGGACAGCAAAACAAATTCTACTCTTTGCCTGACCACTTTTAGACCACAAACCTTTATTCTTCTACCTTTTTTGTTGTGGCTGCAGATTATATCGATGGGGAGGGAGACTGGAGCTCGTGGTCTGTTTGTAGCGTCACCTGTGGCAGCGGCAACCAGCGGCGTACCAGGGCCTGCGGCTACGCCTGCACAGCAACGGAATCACGAACATGTGACAGGCCCAACTGTCCCGGTAAGGCCCTGCTGAATTACTCTCGCTGGAATTATAAAACTGGTACAATCCAGTTAGCTGATGAAGAGCGCTGTCTTCAGGGACAGAATGTAGCAGTAGATGCCACCAGACTTCTGGGACTTTGAGCTTTGTTGTGCTTTTACAAGACTGTGAATGTCAAGATGGGTGGCCGTGTTAGTCTGTAGCAGCAGAAAAGAGCAAGAGTCCAGGAGCACCTTAAAGACTAGCACAATCTGTGGCAGGGGAAGAGCTCTCGTGAGTCATGGCTCACTTCGTAGAAGTAGAAGAGAGTGAGAGTCTAGTACCACCTTAAAGACTAACAAAATTTGTGACGGGAGGAGCATTCGGGAGTCGCTGCTCACTTCTTCAGATAGATCAAGGCCCCGGTCACACGGAGAATTTGCCGTGTGAAAGGCACAAATGTCGGGCGGATTTTCGAGACGCGATCACACTGCAACATCTTGGAAGCGTAGCGCACCCATGGCCAACCCGTGGCGTCCCACCGAAGATGCGGAGTTAAAAAGTACCAAGAAAAGTGCACTAGTATTTGGAAAACGCGCAGCACAGGCGAGCGACTGATCGCGGGAGCGCTAGTATCCCGTGGCATCCGGCGCCCGTCCACATCTCGTTGCAAACCGGATTCTTTTGTAAGCGCATGTAAACAAACACGAAACTGAAAGCAGTGCTGCTCCGCGGAACTGCGCATGTGCACAAACGCAAAACGCTTGTGTGATCACGCCGCGCCGCTTCTTTGCCACGCTGCAGCATCGCCGTGTGATCGCCAGCTAACAGCTGAAGCACAGAGACTCGGGGGACCATGTGATCGGGCTACCGTGCTTTATTTTGCTCCGGGGCGAACGGCCACGCCTCCCCCCCGCATTATCTGGCCCATGTGACTGGGGCCCAAGATGGGCGGCCGTGTCAGTCTGTCTGTAGCAGGAGAAAAGAGCAAGAGGCCAGTGGCACCTTCATGACCAACACAATCTGTGGCAGGGGAGGAGCTTTCGTGAGTCACGGCTCACTTCTTCAGAAGTATCTGAAGAAGTGAGCAGTGAAAAAGCTCAGTCACGGCTGACTACTTCAGAAGTATCTGAAGAAGTGAGCAGTGAAAAAGCTCATAACGCTACCACAAATTTTGTCAGCCTTTAAGGTGCTCCTGGACTCTCGCCCTTTTCTACTGTGAATGTCAGTCTTGGGTTTTCCCCTGAAGGACCTTGGGCCAATGCTGTTGATTCTACCTGCCCTCTGATCTCATGATCTAGGGTTTCCAACCTCCAGCCAGAGCCCAAAGATCTCCTGGAATTACAACTGACCTCCAGGCTGCAGCGATTGGTTCCCCTGGAGAACACAGCTGCTTTGGAGGGTGGGCTTTGTGGCACCACACCCCTGCCATGGTCCATCACCTCCTCAGGCTTCGCCTCAAACCTCCAGAAATCTCCCAGCCCAAAGCTGGTGGCCCTAAAATCTCAACAGTGGCCAGAGCTCTTTTTGTAGAAAAAGCCCAGCAGGAACACATTAGCATAATAGGCCACACCCAACAGCAGAAATTCATTAGCATATTGGGCCACACCCATGACAGCACAGCTCATTAGCATATTAGGCCGCACCCCCTGTTACCAGAACTGTGGTCATCCAGCCACACCCACCTTTTGCTTGTTATTCTGCTTACCTTGTTTGTTGTCCAAACCCAGGGCCTTTTTTTGGAGCAGGAACTCCTTTGCATGTTAGGCCACACACCCCTGATGTAGCCAATCCTAATGACTTCCTGCTGTTGGGTGTGGCCTATTATGCTAATGAGTTCCTGCTGGGCGTGGCCAACTCGGGAGACAGCCGGAACTCCGTTCCTGTGCGTTCCTGCCCAAAAATAGCCCTGCTGATAACGATTCAGTAGAAAATAATTGCATTTCTTGCACGATGCACTAGGTGGAGTGATCTGGAACTTAAGGCTTTGCAGTCTTCTGAAGTTCTAATTGCTTTTGCTCTACGGGTACAAAATGCCTTGGGATTAGAGCACAGGGGGGAAGAGCAATGTGCAAGGTTTTGCCAATGGAGACCTCCTCTCGCTTAAGACAGCTACGGTCGCTCTCAGCAGAATGACTCCCATGTGATGTCAACAAGGCCTCCCGGATATCAGACCTGTGCTTGCATTGGACTGGGTCAAGGAGAGCCTTCACTTAGATGTAATTGTTCCGGGAACCGGATGAACGCATGAAGCTGCCTGATATTGAACCGGACCGTCGATCCACTAAAGTCAGCCTTGTCTACTCGGGCTGGCAGCGGCTCTCCGGGATCCCAAGAAGCCTTTTACATCACCTACTGGCTGGTCCTCCTTTAACTGGAGATGTCGGGGATTGGACAGGGACCTTCTGCATCCCAGGCTGAGGCTCTTCCACTGAGCTTCCACCCTTACTCGTTGTTGTACTTCCATAAGAACATAAGAGACGCCAGTGTTGGACCAGGCCAAAGGCCCATCCAGTCCAACACTCTGTGTCACACAGTGGCCAGAAATACCAGTGCCATCAGGAGGTCCAGCAGTGGGGCCGGGACATTAGAAGCCCTCCCACTGTTGACCCCCCCCCCAGCATGGCTTCTCTTAAATTCTTACGTTGTAATCCAACTGCTGGTTACGGTAGGCTTGTATCATAGTGCAAATGGGACTGAGAGTGACTTGTGTCAAGGCCACGTAGCCTATTGGTGGCAGGAACGTGTCCTCCAGTTTAGCACATTTTATTTCACCCTTCCTCCGAGGAGGTCAGAGCAGCATACATGGGACTCCCTTCCCCCGTTTGATCCTCAAAATAGCTCCATTGTTCCTTGGAGAGAGAGTGTGATGAGCGAGCTTGAGGTCAGCCAACCAGACCCTCTACCGACATGGTAATCTCCACACCACCATGGGTGCCGGGTTCCTCCCGGCTCCTTCTCTCAGCCACGATACTAACCAGCTCCGCAAAATTTGTTAGTCTTTAAGGTGCTACTGGACTCTTGCCCTTTCCTTCAGCTCCATCACGTCGCGTTAAATGCATTAAAGGTGCAGCCGGGAAACATCCTCGGATGTGGGAAGTTTTTTGAAAAGTTTTTAAAGGCGTTCCCTTTCCCTAGAGGACCGGACAGCAGCACAAATTGGAAGGAGCAGATGGTACTCCCTAAAGAATTCAGTCGGGAGAATGTGATTTTTTTCCCGAGCCAGTCAGAGGGAAGCTTCTGGGACCCCTAACTGTGGACTCCAATTCCCAGGTGCACAAGTCTTAAAGATACAGAGCAGTTTTACTAAACTACAGATAACGCTGACTGAAAAATTTTTGCTCCAATGTGCATCACCTTGCACTTGGCCACATTGAACCCCATTTGCCATGTTGACGCCCACTTGCCCATCCTTGACAGATCCCTTTGGAGTGCCCCACAATCCTCACTGGTTTTCACCACCCTGAACCCTTTTCATATTTCCCTTTTCCATCTTCATCCTTAGTATTTGTATCACATTTTCAACGTTCCGAGCACTTTACAATATTACTTCTTCACCCAAAGAGTGATTCACACATGGAATTCACTGCCACGGGAAGTGGTGGCAGCTACAAGCGCAGACATCTCCAAGAGGGGATTCAATAAACATATGGAGCAGAGGGGGGCCACAGCAGGAGGGCATCAAGTTCTGGCCCCGCTGGTGGACCTCCTGATGGCCCCTGGGTTTGGGCCACTGTGTGACACAGAGTGTTGGACTCTATGGGCCACTGGCCTGATCCAACATGGCTTCTCTTATGTTCTCATGTCTGGGGCAGTGAGACTCTGTACTCCTGGTGCTTGGGGGGCAACAATGGGAGGTTCTTTTGGAGTTCTGGCCCCACTAGTGGACCTCCTGATGCCCCTGGGTTTGGGCCACTGGGTGACACAGAGTGTTGGACTGTATAGGCCATTGGCCTACCCAACATGGCTTCTCTTATGTTCTCATGTCTGGGGCAGTGAGACTCTGTACTCCTGGTGCTTGGGGGGCAACAATGGGAGGTTCTTCCGGTGTTCTGGCCCCATTGGTGGCCTTCTTGATGGCACCTAGGTTTGGGCCACTGGGTGACACAGAGCGTTGGACTGGATGGGCCATTGGCCTGATCCAGTATGGCTTATCTTAAGTTCTTACGTTGTAACCCAACTGCTGGTTACGGTAGGCTTGTAGCATAGTGCAAATGGGACTGAGAGTGACTTGCGTCAAGGCCACGTAGCCTATTGGTGGCAGGAACATGTCCTCCAATTTAGCACATTTTATTTCACCCTTCCTCCGAGGAGGTCAGAGCAGCATACATGGGACTCCCTTCCCCCGTTTGATCCTCAAAATAGCTCCGTTGTTCCTTGGAGAGAGAGTGTGATGAGCGAGCTTGAGGTCAGCCAACCAGACCCTCTTCCGACATGGTAATCTTCTCCACACCACCATGGCTGCCGGGTTCCTCCCAGCTCGTTCTCTCAGCCACGATACTAACCAGCTCCGCAAATTTTGTTAGTCTTTAAGGTGCTACCGGACTCTTGCCCTTTCCTTCAGCTCCATCACGTCGCGTTAAATGCATTAAAGGTGCAGCCGGGAAACATCCTCGGATGTGGGAAGTTTTTTGAAAAGTTTTTAAAGGCGTTCCCTTTCCCTAGAGGACCGGACAGCAGCACAAATTGGAAGGAGCAGATGGTACTCCCTAAAGAATTCAGTCGGGAGAATGTGATTTTTTTCCCGAGCCAGTCAGAGGGAAGCTTCTGGGACCCCTAACTGTGGACTCCAATTCCCAGGTGCACAAGTCTTAAAGATACAGAGCAGTTTTACTAAACTACAGATAACGCTGACTGGGGGTAGCATATCCCCATTAAGGTTCCAGTTGACCTTTCCGAAACATCAGAAGCTTAGATAAGGCAGCAGGCAGAATGGTTTCCAGCTTAATTAGCCATTCGCACATCCTCTGGGAGGGAAAGCCAGCGATTTATTGCAAAGCCGAGATGCTACAGGTTTATGTGGCCACGTTCAAAAGGCA